GCATGTGCAATGTGAATAATACTGAGCCTTGATCCTGATTTTTCTGTCCCAGCTCTTACTGATTTAGGAAAAAAAAATGTTTTTAAGGATAATAAGAAGGCATGAGGATGACAAAACTGTACAGGGACAGCCAGATAATGAGAGTATCATTACAGTGGATAAATGGGGGGACTTATGACTACTGATACTGATAATTTACTGATCTTAGGAAATCTACCTTTGAACAATACATAATCACAGCTCTGGCTAAAGCCAGTGAATATGATAATCACCTTTCAATCAGGTAAAAAGAGAAACAGCACGGCTGCTTTTCTATCACCTTCACAGAAACACAGGATTGCTGAGGCTGGAGGGGAAGGTTGGAATATCTGCAAGGATGGAGACTCCACAACCCCCTAGCAGCCTGTCTCTTGTTCTACCGCTGTTACAAGGTAGGGAAGAAAGAAGTTGGAATACGAGTTGCTCTTGCTGGGGACAACGTCAAATGACAGGACTGCAGCACTGACTGGCAAAGCTGCTGTTATTAAGGCAAGACCAGAAGTCAGAGAAAGCATCGTAAGGCCAGAGTCAGCGATGGAATAAATTTGGCTCCAAGCCCAGCACTGCATCAGGAGGGAGGCAGCACAGTCGTGTGTGCCCTGAGTTGCAGGATTCACAGCAAATCCACTGCCACAGAGGTCCTCAGGACACGACATCCACAGAGACGTGTTTTAAGGGGGCTGCTTTGGACTAGTCTGGTTCTGCAGACTGAAAGCCTAGGATGACCTGGAATGCTTAAGGAATGCCTCTGGAGAGCACCTCCTGGTATAGTTTGACATCCAAATATCAACAAAATATCCAAAATGGACAAAAATATCTGAATTGTGTCCTTGCAGACCAATCTACAATATAACCAAAATCATTTTAAAGGAGCACTTTGTGACTAACACCACTTTTTGCTGTAAGTAGCCCTACAAAGGTCTGATACTGGTTCAAGATGCAACTGCCTAATAGAAATGACTGAAACACTCAAGTATTTTGGAAGTTTTGAAAGGTTTTTGAAAAGTTACATGAGTACTAATAAGAAATAAATATTAAACATTCTTTCCAAGCTTTATGTTCTGAAAGCCTTCCCTAAAACATACCTTGCTAATAGCTTTTTTGTACTAGGATAAGCACAGTTTTATACTGATTTCTCAATTATTCACTCTGTATTCCATCAGAGATATATATATATATTGCCATATGGTAATCTCTTCCACAGTAAGATAAAGAAAATTATTGTCGTCTGAGAGGTACAGAACATTTCTCAGATCTTCCTTCAATGACCCAGAGGAGGCAGAGCACATTGGGGGAACCAGTGAGGTCAAGGCTGTCATTCACAGGGTCCTGGAGAGACTGGAGAAAGGGATGAACAGGAACCCTGTGGTGTTCAGTGAGGACACGAAGTGAGGTTTGCCCTGGGAGACACTATCATCTCCCTTCAGCCCAGGCTGGGCACTGGTGTCCTGGGGAAGCAGCGCTGCAGAAAAGGCTCTGGGGTCCTGGTGGATGTCCTGCTGAGCACAAGCTTCCTGGGCTGGAAGAACAGAAGCAGAGCAGTAGAAAATACGGGATACAGGGAAGTGATCGCTCAGTCAGACTACAGGTAGATCCTGCGTCCAGTTTTGGGGCCTCCCATGCAGGAAGGCCTTAAGAAACGGAGGGAGTCCAGTGAAGATGGATGGAGGCTGGAGCACTTGGCCTGTGAGAGGGGCTGGGGGAGCTGGGCTGGTCCAGGCTAGAGGAAGGCCAGTTTCAGGTGGCCTAAGAGCAGGACCCAGTTGTAACAGGGAAATCATCAAGCCAGAGTCAGGTGCTGCACAGTGGCATGTAGTGTGGGGATGGGAACAGCAGACATGTTCTGAAACAAGGGAAATTTAGACCGGAATAGTGTTTTCCCCATAACGACAGTCAAGCACACGACCATGTTATCCCAAATAGTTTATGCACTCTCCATCCTTGAAGATTTCTAAGACAAGACTATAGAAAGCCCTGTGCAACCGAGTCTGATTTCAGACTTCAGATTTCAGCTGACCCTGCTTTGAGCAGGAGGTTGGGCTAAAGACTCCCGAGATCCCTTCCAGCCTGAATTATCCTGTGATCCAGTGATACCATGTATCTGATCCCCTCCTTGCTGCTTTCCAGCACGAAGAGAAGCATCCTGAGACAACCAGTGAAGCAATAGTCCCATCATAGGCATCACCACCAGCCAGAGCACAGGAGCAGTTTCCTCCTACCTGTAGAAGTAGTTTCCTTCGGAAAAGCTCTGTTCCTTTCATATATACCTAGCAAAAATCCCATTTTGGCATGAGGAACCTTAAGCTTCCTCCAGTAATTTTCCTTTTGAGCATCTCAGAATTAATCTACAACAGAGCATTTTTCTGCGGAAGTGCTCAGGATAATAAGTCTCAACTGAAGGCTCCGTGCTATAGAAACATAACTGCACTTGCATGCCCATGTATAGATTTCATGATAATCACAATGTTTAATATTTACATAATACTTCCTCAGATGCTTAACACACCATTAGCAATCTGCATTTAATAACAGTAGGGACATCAAACTGTGAAAAGCTCAGATGGAACCTCATTCTTTTACATTTCAGTATTTGTTTTGATTTTACTTCTTAAATTTTAATCATTTGATTTGCATTTTCTTTGGAAACTGGAAAGCATTTCACACAAACACAGATACAGAACACAGATACAAAGAAACAACAGTCGCTGATGATTTCCAGAAAGGTGGCAAATTCTAGCAAATTTACAGGACATGATGGGACAAGCAAAGATCAAGAATCGATCCACTACGGAGAAGAAAAATAATAAAGAAGTGTCCAAATATATAATAAATAAGGAATCAGTGAAGCAGAAGTAGGATCATATAGATGACAAGGGTAATATTGTGTTGATACAAGTGGTAACACTGCCAAAGGAATGAATTCTTTCATTCACTGCTCACAGAGGAACATGAAGGAAATGTCAGGAACTGACAGATACTTCCCAAGGTAGAAGAAAAAAATATTGAAGGTGCTGAAGGTTCTCTTGTTGCAGAGAATCAGATAAAAATACTTACAATCTGCCTGTATTTTAGAAATAGATTTTGATCCTGTAACCTAATCTCCAAAAATGTCAGGGTGAAAGTATACAAACAGCATGTTAACTAGGATTTTCCTATGCAGGAAAAAAAAAATTGGGTCTCAAACTAGATGATTAATAGACAGGATGATTATGATGGATTTTTTTCCCTAATTTTAAATGAATGGGGAAATGCAGTGATAAAAGGAGATAAGGGTAGGTAATAAACAGGTCACGACTAAAGAAGCAGTCAGGGATGGCAGGTAAAACGTACGTGAATTGTGTTAGTCATTTTAAGAGGCCGGGTTCAGGAGCAGAAACCTGTCAGAATGATGAAACCTGCAAAACCTGCAAACATCTGTATTTGACAGCAGTGGGAAATAAGTGCAAGAGTGAGAACAGGGCAGCCCCCTAACAGCCATATACTACCGAAAAAATATATGTTCATAATGGTGGGTAAAATAATTATTTGTCAATTCAAATTCATAATGAACAGATTGGGTTACACTGGAGGTGGGGAATGCAGGGCTTATATAGCTTTTTTCTTCTGGCAGATGTTATTTATTATCTTAAGTGAGTTGATGAGAAGTTAACAGTAGGTTAATAAAAATTTGCAGTTCTTCACAACTGTGAAGAATTCTTTCCACAGCAAAGAACAACAGAAAAATGTAAGCAAATTGGAAATAAGGTGTAAAATAGCAAATTAAGGTGTAACATAGGAAAATACAACTTTCAATACAGAAATAAGATGAGTCATTATATAAAAGTGACTTTAATTTCTATGTGCTAAGAGCATGCAAAAATGATATGCCAAAGATGATAAAAGTTTTAGGTTGTCTTTTGTTTTGATTTTGATAGCACCATTTACTGTTTAAGTTCTATCTATCCACTTAGGTTAACAACAAGAAGTAAAAAAAAAAAGGGTCACCAACCCAGCAACCAAGTTCCTTTAATGTTCTCTTTAATATGTTGTATAAAATGAATAGTCACCTTCACATCTGACTGGAACACAGTGCTCCAAGCTGATCTCCAACTAGACACAGGGTTGCAGGCAGCAAAAAAGGTCATGGCAATTTTTTACTGCGTACATATAATGTCACAAAACACAGCTGTGGCAGTAATTTTTTTTTTTCATGGCATTGTTTCAGAAGAGTTTTCTCTACCTGCTGAAAGCTACACAAATGCATTGACACGAATACAGCTTGACACAGAATAACTTCTGCTGATTCACCCGGGTCAGGATTTCCCCCTCACAAAGAATTAAACAAACTGGGAGCAGGAAAGAATTATCTCTGGGGAGCGATGCACTAACAGTGCAAATATCAATAAAAATTTGCTAATGTGAGATCTACTGGAGGAATAAATGCACTTTCTCAGGAAAAACAATGGAAAATACATTTCTGAAAAGCAAATAGATGGAAAATCTATATGCAGACTACATTAAGCATTCATACATATATTATAATATAGATAAAATCTATCTAACAGCCTATACATAGGTTTCTAGCATGTTTTTACATCTTTTCATTTTCTTAAAATGATGAGTAGAATGAGTTCTTCTTTTTATGAACACTTTATCTTAAAGTTTCCTTTAAAGTTTTCCACTGCATTTTAACTTGTCACTAACATGATTAATGCATTTATTCTCTTCTCAGCTAGACTGTCAAAGTAATACAACTGCTTGCCTCGTCTTCACAAAATGTTCTTTACCACTATAATGCTTTTTAACTGTAGTCTCAAGAATATATATAAGTAATGGGAAAAAAATGAAGATGACAGAAGTGCAGCTTATAATTATTATAGACGTTCTACTGGTTATCTCCAGTAAAAAGTAGGGTGAACAAAAGACCCTTCACAAAATAATTTTCAGTCAATGAGAATGACATTTAAATTTGTCCTGCTTACCATAAGAAGTCTGTCTCCAACCTGCAATCTGCCATCTTTTTGTGCAGCTCCTCCATCAATAATCTTGGTGACATAAATGCTGTTGTCCCCAGGAATGTGTTGGTTTCCCACCCCTCCTGCAATACTGAAACCCAGACCTGGAAAAAAAATAGGGAAAACAAAATGTTAGCAATACAATATGGTACAAAAAGGATTGCAAGCATTGTTATATATTTTTTGTAATATATTGTGCCATGACAGTATTTTTTACAGAACTGCAAATAACATAACAAATATTTGAGAGGTCAATACACTCACTTTTCCTGAAAGGGCAGGGACAGAAATAAATTAAGAACATTCTTTCCCATGTATAGTTACAGCAATTTGTAGGAATATATAGACAAAAAAATAATCAAACCGATGATGATTACACCAATGTGTTGCCCCTGCCAAGAGCCAGTGCAAACTACACTAGCAAGTAATGGCAGTTTCTCCATTACTAGTTACAAAACTCTGAAGGTTGCAGTTTATACTGTTATATATCGACATAAAATACATCGCAATCCATTAGAACAAAATGCAGGATATTCTTACGATCCACAGAACTGGAAAAATAGCAGGAGACATTTACAACACATTTTGTAAGTAGTATCACAGTGAAAGGTCTGGAAGGATTAAAGAGTGTAGACATTTGGATTTAATTCCGCTCTGTGCATTTTTCTAGCACACAGATAACACAGGCTGTTGATACACGGAACAGGAAAGCTGCAGCCCTTTGTGCACACATAACTCCTGCTCAGTGATCTGTGCAGATCCTAGATGATGACCCCAAGTGCCCAACTTTGGAGCAGTGACAATAACACATGCTGATGGAAAATAAACAGGCA